AACGAGAAATTATCACCCTCTCGTTTGAGTAGGGACATTAATATCCTTTTTGGCCGCTGCAACAAATTCATATGCTAATTCAGCAAGCATCTTCTTGTAAAGAAAACCTTTTAATGAATACAATTCCAAAGATTTCCCTCCTTGGTGGGATTATTCCTGCAGGAGTAAAATTTAGTCAACGATGTTGTTCTTGTTAAACGTGCAAACGTCTTTTTGTTCCGTGCGCCCGAAAGTCGAGCTCCCAGGACCAAGGACTTTGCTTTCAGATTTCTCCGAGTTTTCCGAAATTTCGAGGGGTCCCTTTGAAATTCGGGGTGGCGCTTACCCCCTCCCCCGGGTTCCCTCCTGCGGCATTGTGGCCGATCCATAAGCGGCCACATCAAAGAGCGCCCCGGGCAACCTGTCGTCGCGGCTTTGTCCTCTCTCTTCTAACCGATTTACATGCCATCGAAATAGATTTCGAGGACTTGCATAATGCAGAATAAAAGCGAGCTGGTGCAAGGTCGACTCGGAGGACCAGTTCGCCGGTCCCCGTCTTTCTCTAGAAACGCACTCGCTCCCTATATCGATTTAGATAATGAACGAATTCCCCGAGGGTGCCGGTCCAAGATCGATCGCCGACTCGTCCCAATTCGATCATGGGAGTCGATCGAATTGGGTCGCCGGCGACCGGGCCTCGCCGAGGCCTGGAACGATTATTTTGCGGGTCCCACGAAACAGAATCCCGCGGTGCGACCTCACCGACGAGAAGACAAATGGCCGCACGGTGCCAGGCCGCATTATATTTTCGAAACGCACCGCCAGATCTTGGGTCCGGTCCGAAGAAAGGCGGGCCAGCTGGAAGCTGGGCCCGCTGGACCAGAGCGCGTTTCCATCCGCGGAGAGATCCCTCGAGTCCTCCGGTGCACATTCGACGATATACCCGGACGTCATCCCGGATCGAAGCCAGCTTCAGCAGGGAACGATCGAAAATTCCCGGGGACCGGCGATAAAATCCCGCGGGACCCGCCTGGGTCCCCGGGAGTCCTCTCGCGTCGCGAGCCGCGGTACTTACCGGCGAGTCCGTGCCCGGCCCGTGAGAGCGAGCGAGACCGAGCGATGCCCGGCCCCGCGGACGCGAGAGAGACACAGCTACCCGGAGAGAGAATATCAATACGTTACGGAGCGCGGCATAGTCGCATCTGATTTTCCGAGCGCATCGGCACGTGGATAATGTTTTAATGGAGTTTGTCGAGTGCGCGGCCCGGGGTAGAGGCCAAGGGTGAAGCGGGGACGGTTTACATACCATTTACTCTCGCCCTGTAACCTCCAGCCCCCCCTGTTTACCGTGCTGTACAAACGGCGCTCGGCGTCGGTGCTACTTACGACCGAGCCGGCTCGTTCCGCGCTCTCTCTCCTCGCAGGAGCTTCATGCGCCGATCCTTAGACGATCCTTGGACGATCTCTTCTCCGCGCATGCGGTCACGAGGGATCGATCGACATCTCGCACTCCCGACGTCTCCGGAAGAAACGAGCCGGCTCGGCCGCGCGAGAAACGCGCAAATTATATGTGCACAGCGCCGCGCCGAGGCGCAATCCGAGATGTCGATTGTCTTGATCGGGTCTCGTTATATCTACGGACCGACCCGCGTTTCCAGGGAATCAAAACCGTGATCAGAGGTCTGCGGCGAAATAACACCCGCGAGGTGCAAGAAACGCGGAGTTTCACCCTTGCGAGGGGAAATCGCGACCGGCCATCGAAAAAAATCGAAACGCTCCTCTGAGGAGGAACTATGGCTCGGGATCGAGGCTCGTTCGAGTAGAGGAGCGTTTCTCGATCCTGGCCAGGTCGGAGGTGGTATCGGGGGCTGGTGCATATTGCATCCGAGGGCCCGGGACCGTTCGGGGACCCTGGGCCCAAATGACTTTCCGAATGGGCTCCGGATAAAAGACGGTTCCGCCGATCCGCTACTGAATGGCCTATGTTTCGACTCATCATACGCGGCCTCTCGGGGTTTCCTATCCGGCCCCGAAGAGGCGCTACGCGGGCCCACGGGGCGCCTTTCTCGGGCCCCATGGAGCGGCCCCCCTTCGTTTCTCCACTTTTCCCCCGGCGTTCTTTTTTTTTTCCCCTCTTCCTCGTCCGCGATAATAAATGATAGTTTCCATAATTAGCGGCTCCTTTCCGGGCCCGCCGGCCGGCCTTGCCCGGCCCGAGGGGCCTTCTTCACCTTAAAGTGTCAACGGGCAGCAGGTGCGGCCCATTGTCCGAAAGTGCAACATAACCGTGCGGAATTGCGCGCGGATCTGCGGAACGCGCCGTGACCGGGTTGACAGAGAATCCCTCCATCGGGCCGCGGGACAATGGGCGGAAGTCCCTAGTCCGGAACACAATGGCCGGGAATTCGCAGGTTGAAATTCGATTCGAGCCAGGCCGGGGCTAGTTTGCATGAAACCCAACGGGGTAATCCTCCCGCCGGTGACGGATACCCATTGGTGACGTTTAGTTACGCCAGCGATACCTCCCGACTGGGACTTCTCTGTTGCCAAAAAGGCCCCATTCTTGCCGTTCAATGCTGGAAACCGATACGGCCCTTCGACTCCCTCGAGAACGCACCCTTGTACTCGATCGCCTCTCCTCGAAGCCGTTCCTCCTCGCCACGAAGGAATTATCCACGCCGCATCTAGGATTCTTTAAAAAGTCCCCTCGGGTAATTATTAAAGAATTATTTAAAGCCGCGGTTAAATAAACTGAGGCCCCCCGCGATTAAAGCGCTCGGTAACGCCGCGTTGTCATTACGGTATGCGGAAAATCCGGGAATAATGTCCGCCGGATTTCCGCCCTCCCGGGCGAGGGTCGCGCGACTCGCCCGCCGGGCGGATAATCGAGCCGCGGTCGGGCGAAAAAAGCGCCGCGGTTTTTTTTTTTTTTTTTTTCCCACCGGAAGCCGACAAGGAACCAGGAGTAACCCGATATTCGATGGGGATTCGGTGTCGCGCTGCGGTCTGACGCAGTCGTGAAAACAGAGGCACAACAATCCGGTAAATTGCGGCAGGACGCCGGGACGCGTAATCCCGTTTGCGCGGGTGCGGCCGCGGGTGCGGAATTGCGGATGATTCGCCGCTTCGAGCCCCCGAACCCTCTCTCGAAAGGGTTGCCCTCTCCGCCGTCCTCGACATCGATTAGGCCCCCCGCATGCAAAATCGCAGTCGTGATAAGAATTTCTTTTCTTGCCGCAACAAACGTGACGCTTGAAAATGGGCCTTTCATTTTTGTTATTTCGACGACAACGAAATTGATAATTTTCCCCGCGGGGCCGCATAAATTCTATTCAGTTGCAATATTCTTTCCTAGCAACGAGAAATTATCACCCATTCGTTTGAGTAGGGGGAACGATATTAATGGCGATCGATCGATCGATCGCGATTTATCGATGCGGAGAGGTCGGGCCCTTTCCGGGCGACCCGCGGCGGCCATTGTCGCGGCGAGATCGCCTTCCAAGAAGGGCCGCTCTAGGTGGCGGATCGTCATATCGGATTTTAATTAAATCGAAAAATCGGATAGTCATTAATGACAAGTGGCGCCCAATCGGGATGATTCGGTGATTTCCATTGAGGCGACCGCTGGGAGGGTCGGGCCCCGTAATGACAACGGGCCCCACGGCCTGGGGGCCTTATCGATTGCTCGCCGGGGGACGAGGATAAAAAAGGGCGCGTAATGGGCCCTTCCGCGTAGGTGGCAACCCTTTGTACCCCGGTTAATTACCCGAACTCGGGAATTATGCGCGAATCATGACCCGACCTCGTGCCTCGCGAATAAACAGCCCCGAAGAATCCTAATCATCCCTTTGACTCGCGGCGGATATTAAGGGAGGAAATTTTCGGGAACTTCGGGAAACGTTAAATTTTCCACGCGATAAACGCCGCTAGTGTTCGCGGTGCATTTCCGAAATTGGGATTACTTCCTCCCTTGCATTCTTTTACCCTTCATTCGCGTTCGCCGGTGATTATCGTTTCTCTTATTAACGCCTCTTTACTTTTCTTTTCTTTTTTTTTTTCGTCGAAGACGCCGCTCGAGCGCTCGCGGCTCTTGCCACGGTGTCTAGAATCGATTTATGCTATGCTCCCCGGATGACGCATTGCTATAGTTTCGAGCCAATGCCGTGTACTCCTCAGTCGGGTACAAGTGGTACTTACGGTAATGCCTTGTGATATGTGTAAGTTTAATACGAGGCATTCCGCGCGGTCGTCCGTAGTTTTATAATACGTCAGACCCTGGGGCAGTAAGCGCGTCGGAAAACATTAACCCACCCAACGGCTCGCCCTTAACCCGACAGCTTTCTCCGCACCCTCCGAAGTCGCAAGACACCGGGTCCCTAAAAACGAGGAGACCGAATCCTCCCCTGAAAAACCAAAGAAACGCATCAACGAGACCCTTAACAGCCCCCGCAGTCGATCGTGCCGATTTCCGTCGCCGTCCCCGAAACGGAACGAAAAAAACCCGGGGGTAGTGAGACAAGAAGAACCAGAAGAGAGGAATAAAAAGGAAAAGAAAGAAATAAAGAAAGAAATTCCCCTCGACGAGTGCAAGCTGGAAATCGCGTGCGGAATCTCTTAGCGGACTTTCGCGGCGGTCGTCCCGAGGATCGGCGGGGTTCAAAAAGCGTGACGGTTCCGGGGAAAGCGGCAAGTGCGGCTCCTCGGGAAGCCCTCCCCAGGTCCCTCCCTGGTCCTCGGTCGGGAGTACCTCGGGAAAAGGCGAGGAGTCCGGTAAAATCGGGACCGTCGAGCGCCCTGTTCAGGGTGGGGGGAACGCGGGGGTGGTGTCGTCGCCGGCGACGAGGGGTGGGGGTCGGAGGGGCGCGACTCGTCTCCGTCGACGACGTCGCAGTCGCGGCGGGGCGGGGGTGGGGGGCGCCGCGGCGGAGAAGGTGGCCCGGGTAGGTGGAGGGGGCGCCGTCTATCTCGGTCTCTCTCGCCCTGGCCCCTAACCTCTCTCTCTCCCTCTCTGTGTGTTGCAGCGCTCGCGCGACTGTCAAGCCTCCGGACCGGCAGTGGGGATGTCGCGAGCTCCGGCACCGGCCCCCGGCCCGGTGGAAGGGAGGACAAAAGCGCCGGAGGGAGGGCAGCCCCGACGCCTGGTGGGGAGGCGGCCGATGTCGCGGAGAAGGAGGAGAGGCCACCGGCTTCAGAAAGTGTCGAGCCGACGGCCGCGTTTGACATCGCATCTCTCGTCCTCTACGGCTCGCGCGCTCTCCCGATCCGCCTTAAGATCTTGCTCGATCTCTTGTTCAACCAATTGCCCCACGCGCAAGTGACCAGGCTGCTGGCCGCCTTCGGCTGGACCCACGAGGATTACACTAGAGGATACATACTGCAGGTGAGTGCGACCTAGGTCCTACCTGTCGCGAGCCGATCCCCGAATCAATGGCGACTCCTCCCGACCCCGAGGTGCCCGTCGCCAACTCGGGATCGTTTCTTCAAAATCGTATCCATCCGCGTGGACGCCCCGGAGGTGGTACTCCGGGTTGACAGGGAGCGGTGCTAAATCAGGCAACACTTATTACAGTCTACCTGGGCATCGTAAAAGAGATCGCCTCGGCTTTTTCGATCCGTTGCCCCGTGACGGATTTAGAATCCAGTTTAGTGCGCTGCCATAGAGGTGTCGCCCGCGGTAAATTATTCCCCGCTGTTTCGAAGTACGTACCTTTAATTCCTTTAGTGCGCCATTAAATCCCCCCCCCCCCTTAGCCCCTTCTTCTTCTTCTTCTCTTTATTCCTCCAACCCCCGGGTACCTCTCCTGCCACTTGCTCGAGGCGCCGAGGGAAAGGTCGGGATGAAGAGTCGGACGTCGCAGCTTCCCAGGTGATGGGATCGTTCCTCGATGATGACACCTGCCGGTGCGACGATTGGAGCGTCGCCGGAGGCACCTAGCAGGAGCCTCGTCTTCGACGGATGTCCTCGGAGAGACTCCAACTACCGTGGATGAGGACGTCGGACCATCCTGATGACCTCGTGGTTGTGAATACCTGTGTCAGGAGTCGCCAAGGATTCCCCGATTACGCCCGAGGACGCATGTTCGATGTCGCAATCAGTGCCGTCGTCCGTTCCCAGACGGAGACCCGACCCGCTAGTGGATACGTCCTCCGATGATCGGACAGGACGTCGTCCGGGATTTTTCACTAGGTGCTCTTCGGAGCTCGAGCTAGTAGCGATGCTCGACCTATCGGCGACGCAATTCGAGTCCTGGGACGGAGGACTCGTGCGGTGAAAGGACTCCAAGTGCGCGAACTGTGTTATCAGAGATGCGGTGACCGGAGTCGTTGCAAAGTGTCCCCTTTGTGAGGTAGAGAGCCGAGGAACCGAGCACCTTGGACATCCCGAAGGATCGAGGGCCACGAGGAGATCGACATTGTCAATGAAGATGGGAAGAAGAGAAGATCGGAAGAGTGGAACCATCGAACCGAACGACCTCGACGCTTCCTCCTATCCCGAGTCCGCACCTTCCGTCGCTCCTTATCAACGGTGGATATCCACGCGTTTAGTTCTCCCGCCGAGGAAAGTTTCTCCGCCGAGGTGCGTACGGTGTACGGTGTACCGTAATGTACCCTCATTACGCCTAACCGCGACCGTAGCCGTAGGTAATTCAGGCCCAATGCAGGTTACCCTCTCCCCTGCCTCCTCGATCGGGATGTAACGCGTCGCGGAGATTCCCAAAAAATCGAGAGGAGGTAAGGGGATCGCGCGAAGTGCCCCGCCGCGGTTCCTCCGGGGTATCTCGATAGAAACTCACGGACAATCGGGACTTCTTGTTCGCCCTTTTATTTTCTTTACTAAGGATCGCGGAAGCAGGGGGACCCGGCGGCGAAAAGTGACCCAGGGGAAAAAATGCCGACGGGCGTAAAAAGGACGATAAGCCGCGCCGAGAGTCGGACCGTGCGAACTTCACGGAAGGCTGCTGCTCGTACCCGAGGAAATACCCGGGTATCCGTGTAAACTGAATCGCGCCGATGTGTCGGGCCGGTAAATTGGATGTATGCGGAACCGGTTACGTTCACCGGCGCGGCCGCGATCTCCGATGGTGCACCAGAGGCCCCCGCGATGTGTCGGAGTTTAATCGCGAGTCCGGTACCGAAATCGGCCCCATAGTAGATACGGAATAGCCGAAGAATAGAGGAGGACGATCCGTTCTCCCAATTGGTCGGCAGGAAATCCAGACTGAAGAATTAAAGTCCTAGACGGGGGTCGAGTCCTTATCGCGACTCGACGATCGGCGCCGACGTCGGACGTCGACTATCGACTGTTGACCGTTCACGAGGGATGACCAGACGGAGGACGTCACTTCCCTGACATCCGGAAAAATGAGGGATCGCGACTCGGGCTCTGTTTACTCCTGATCCGATACACCGAGAGCTCGGATCTAGAGCGATCGATGACTCGATCGACTCGCGGTTACATTAGCGATTGCGCCCCGAATCTCGACTGAGACGTTAATGACGCTTGTTGATATAAGATTTAATTTTATACCGTCCCCGGAGTGTCGATACTCGCCGATCGAAAGACTCGCAGGAGTCATGGCCGTCACTTCGAGATCGACGGCCGCTACGGAATCGGGGAGACGCGCGGCTCTCTTTGCGCGGGTCTGAATTATCGCATCGTACTTGTCACTTGTCGATCGCGAGCTTGTAATTTTTTTTTCTTCCTTCGGCTTTTTTTTCCCCCGATGACAGTGACGGGTTAATTATTCCCTCGGATGTGGAATCGTAATCGTAAAGCGCCCCGAGGTCTCGTAGCAATTAATTGTGGAACGAGTAGACCCCTGCGTCGGGACGCCTCTGCTCGACGGGTTCCGCATCGTTACGTGGGGATCCTAGATATGGACGCCGTTGTCGATGCATTTCTCGAGGACATTGATATCGGTACTTCGTACGGATTGTGGAGTAGAGCTTTCCCGTGAATTCGTCGGAACGCGCGGAATGTCGATAAAATCGGGAAAAGCTCGACAAGGCGGAATGTATACGCAACGATCAAAAGTCGAGCCATCGGCCTAGAAAGGTTGGCGGTGCTTTCGGCACGATATCCGCGAGTGGGATCCACTCTCGTGCGGCGCCGCGGCGGAATTTCGCGATTTCCCGCTGACAAAGTGGCCGCCGTCCGCGGCGGGCCCATTGTTGCGGCCGGGCCGCGGCGAGGGTTTACGACGATCGGCCGTTTTTTCTTCGTTTTTTTCCCCCTATTTTTCCCGTCGGTTTCGAACAAAGCTCCCCCGCCACCCGGAACCTCGGCCGCGCGCGTCTCGGAACGCGGGGAATGAATGACGTCCGCCGGTTTTCGGTAGCGGAAAGGAGAAGTACCGCGACGGATTGTTACCGGGACTTTCGGCAAACGGGCGGTACCGAGAATCCCTAGCGAAGTCTCCCTTGGAGGCCGAGAGCCGAAAACGGCCCCCGGTAGCGGGTGCGGAATCGTTTCCGAGCCGCGTGCGGGACCTCGTCAGGCGGAGATCGGACACGCGGCGTCGCGGCTCGGATTCCGCGATTTTCCACGCGCGGCGGCGGCTTTGCCCGGCCGCCGGCTCTCGCGGGGATTCCGGCGCGGCCCTCGCGACGCGGAGGAGCCGCGCGGCGCCTTAGCGGCCGAGATTTACGAGCGAACGCGCATCGGCGCTTCGCTACGCGTCACGAATCGGCGTTGCTTCCAGCTTGCGCGATAAAACGGAGGAATTTCCAGAGGAGAAAGAGGAGAGGCCGAGGAAGGGCCCGGTGTCGATCATCGGGCCCGCTCGCGGAGGCCGCAGTAAAAGGGCCCCGGGCGAGAACGCCGCGGAACGCCCGCGCGAGCGTGACGGCCGCTCTCCTCCCCGTCGGGAAGAGCGTCGATGTCGAAAGGTGCGAAAGGAGCACGCACCTCGAAAGGGGGCCCGAGAACTTCGTCACCCCGTCGATGGACGCGTCGGAAACGCGCGGAGAGACCTGCGGAGGGAACCACTCGATATAGTCCCATCCCCGAGTTCCCATTATCCTCGTGGCATCGGAAGATTCCTCGTTCTCCAGCTGGATCTTGAAGATGGAGAACGAGGCTTCGATTCCTGGGAACTCGGGGATCGCAAGCGTCCCGCCGGTCCAGGATCGCGGTCGCGCGATTCCGTCAAAGAGCCGGATGCGGAGGATTCCCGGAACCGGGGCACGGATTCGTCGGCGCGTTCAGGTCCGCCCGGTGATTACGGGCCTCGCCTAATTGCCAGAAATTGGACCCGCGATGTGTCTCCGCGTGTGCGAGCGGTCCGGACCTCGGCCGCCTCTCTTTCGGGACCGGCGAAAAACGTGTTCCGCATGTAAATCGGGCCGGCGCCATGGGACAGGGGCCTCCCCGGTGGGACTTGTCGCCGGGGCCTTCCTGTCCCCTGGACGGACAAATTATATTATCTTATGGTAATGCCGGCATTAAGTGTACGAGGTGGCCGAAATCGGCCCGATTTGCCGCGCCGCCGTCGTCCTTCCCTCCTCGTTATCGAAATTTTAGACGGGGATAATTAACGAACCGATCCCTTCGCTCGATTTCAATTACCCCGTTAACTCCTCGCCGATCGATGGAACGATCTTCTCGATATATCGGTGCCGATTCTCTCGACTTTTTCCGATCTTCGTACAACTTCGAGATAGAACGCGCTCTTTTTGGGAATTCTTTTTCGCCGACTTATCCCGTGGATAAATTACGCGCGCCATCTTACGGTAATTCTTTTATTCACCGAACAAATACATATCCTTGACATTGTTGCCTGAATCATTAATAACTGAAAGGAACAATTATCTCGTTGAGGAGAAAAATGAGATCGTCGATTGAAACGAATTTTCTTTACATTTCTGACATTTCTTTGGACGCGTATCATCGCAGGATTTTGTCCTACCAATGGACGTTTCTTTCAGTCAACCAACTTTTCTTTCTCAGTGCGACCTTCCTCTTTGTTTCGGGAATTTTACGCGAGGACAATTAACGAAACGATCCCTTCATGGATTTCAATTACCTCGTTTACTCCCGGCCAATCGACGGAACGGTCTTCTCGATATCGGGGTCGTTTCCCTCAATTCTTTTTCCACTCTTCGCGGGACTTTGAGATAGAACGCGCTCTCGCCGGAGATTCCTTTTCACCGACTTATCCCGGGCCGGATAAATTAGGCTTATGGTAATTCGGTTATTAGGCGTGCGAGGTGCTCGAAATTGGACCGATTTGCCGCGCCACGCTTTTTCTCCCCTCTAACGAGGGCGTGGGCGAGGGCACCGGGAGATATCGGGAATGAGCAATAACAATTAGTACGAGCAAACGGCCCGGAATGGAGGAATCGAGAACCGGAGAAGCTTTCGGTGCCGCGATGGGAGGGACGGGGACGGTATGCAGAATAAAAAGGAGAGAGCGAGCCAGTAGGAGGACGTCGTTAGCTGCAATCCAATTTAGCGGCGGATATCCACACGGGAGATCTTCACGATTTCTACACACGAATAAGACGGAATCGCGGCTCCGTGAAATCATATGCGATGTCCAGTCACGGATGGCACCTTCGATTGCCTCTTTAGAGGGAAATCGCGGAGTCGCCGCGGCGAAGGACGTCGCCGCCAGGCGGCGCCATCGCCTGCCTGGAGAACGCTGGAGAACGCTGGAGAACAGTGGAGAACAGTAAAGAACGATGGAGAACGCTGGAGAACACTTGGGAACAAATAATATAGAAAATCAGTTCCCGATAGATGGAGGAAAGATGCCATTTCGAGGTTAGAAAAGCGAGAAACGCGTCCTCCACCCAGCTGACGAAGACTTTGACTCCCACGGCTCCTCGAACTCGGCAGGCATGTCGTGCCGCGTTTCATGGTCCAGCCATTTCGCGTTTTTCCGTTCCTTTTACGTAACATCATGAGAAGAGAAAGAGAGGGACGGGGTAGAGAAAGAGGGAAGGGCGTTTAGCAGCTTCGGGGAATTCTTCGGCCGGAGCCAGAACTCGCGTCACGCACTCCGGAGGGAAAAGGCGGCGAATTCGATTCCTTTTCGGTCGGGAACAAAGGCAAAAAGGGGACGAAGGAGCGCCCGAGCGATTCCCTGAGAAACCTCGGGAATTACGAGGAACCCCCTAAAATGTTGCCGCGAAACCTTGCGAAATGAGCTTTCGCAAATGCCGGCCGAGGCGCCGCTTCGGGTTCTCGAGATTTACGAGTCGGGCCAGGAGCAGCAACCCCTTGTGCAACGACGAGAGAGAGAGTCTCTCGGGTCGTCGGTATCGATCCTTTTGCTTTCGAGAGTCTCGAAGGACCTCGCCACGTCGGACTTCCGAGCAACGATCCACGGGAGGGGGATTTTGAAAAAGAAACAGGGTGGAGGTCCTCGACGACCACCGGGCTAGAAGCTCGAGTTAGACTCGAGTCGAGTCCTTCCGTCGTCCGGATGTCCTGGACGACCCTCGGCCTCCGCGGCGCGGATCCCGAAACCGCTAATGCCATACCACTTATCTCAAGGGCTGGACATTTAACGGTAGTAGTTAAGTGCAAAAGGGCGCCCATCTCGGCTAATTCGACTCCTTTCGTGCGGGAAGGAAGGAGCAACGAGAGGAGGTTCCCAGAGGAGAGCCGCGGATCGCGAATAACACCCTGCGGAAAGTTGGCGCGGAATTGCAGGGCGAGACGGCGCAAAGCTCGGGTGGACACCGGTCAGTCCCGTGGGATCTCGAGGTGTTTACAGGGTGACTCGGGTGGGGAAGGGAGGTCCAGGGGAAGCACCGGCCTCTCGATTCGAGGAAGGCGATCCGTTACCGGTCACGATCGAAATAACGATCGTGGCTTTCGTGCACGACCATAAAACGCCTACCCGCCGAGGAGCGAGCGGCGCCCACGGGGGGAGGGAAACGGGAGAGGCGGAGTGCCTAATTTCTTAACTGGAAACCACAAACCATAATTAAACGGTGAACCAAATAATGGACGGTTTAGAGAGAAGGGACCGAGAGGAGAGATCCTTCCCTCCGGAGAGTCGGCGGTGGGTGCGCGGGACCAAAATGGCGATTTCGGCCCGGTCGTTAATCGAAAGCCGCGTGGTTCCGCGATCGCCGTATCGGGAGCCACGGGGATGTTTCTTGTTTAATTACTTTAATTACCAAGCGATTACTCGGGAAGGACGCGCGTTTCGAGATATTTTGTATCGAGTGGGTAATCGAGGGTAGTTCGATTTAATTGCCGATGCGAGACGAGCGGTACCAAAATGGCGGCCGGAGTAGTCCTGGAGGGTGAGTTTTCGGATTATAGGGTTAAGGTGGGATTTCGGAGCAAGGCGAATTTTTGGCGGGGCTAAAAATCCACACCGATCTCGAGGGCGATTTTTGGGTGTTCCGCGACGTCCGGGCGGAAGTATTCATACTTCGCGGCGAGTTTTCGCGATGCGGCCGAGACGGCGCGTCCGGTATCCCGTAATGACCTCGCCTTGACGTTTCCTCGTTGCAGGACTCGCAGAACGGCCCGGTGCTGGACCGATGGAGCATCTGCTCGGCTGAGGAGGAGCCGCTGGTCCTGCAGCAGTTCCTCAGATTCGCCGAGACGCGTCCCTTCGTGCAGCAGCTGCTGCTGGCCGCCGGAACGCCGGGTCCGGATGCTATGTCACCCAGCAGACGACCCTCGCCGCCGACGATGCCTCTAGCGCACTTGCCGCCGCCTCTGCACCTGCTGCACTGCGGCCTGCCGCCGCCGGGGTCGCGGCTGCCGCACCCGCTGCCGCCGCCGCCCCCGCCGACGTCGGGTGCGCACCCTTCGATGTCGCCGGGGGGACAGAAACACTACTCGCCGTCCCCGGGCAACCCGGGGTCGATAGCGACGAGCGCGGCGGGGTCGCCTCCGGGGGGCCTGGAGCCGGGGGGCGGGCACCTGGCGGTGTCGCCCCTGAACCGGCTGCAGAGTATGCAGCCCTTCGACTTCCGCAAGCTGGGGACCATGGGGCTGCCCGCGTTTCCGCCCCTGCCGCCCCCGCCACCCCCGGCGTCGGACTCGCGGAAGCCCCTGCGCCTGCCTCAGAGTCCGCACAGCCCCCCGCCCCACCAGCACGCGTCCGGGGGGCAGCTGAGGCCGCCACCCTTGCCAGTGGCTCCCGTGTCGTCCTCGGGCCTCTCCTTCGGCCACCCCCTGGCCGTGGCCGTCTCCTCGGGCGCCCTGCCCCCCAGCTTCCCCGCGCACTTCCCAGCCCCCTCCATGAGCGGCAAGCCCGCGACCGACCCCCACAGCGGCGGCGAGCGCGGCAGCGACTTCGGCTCCGAGGAGGACGAGGACGACGAGGAGAACTCGGGGAGTGCGCTCAACCTCAGCAGGAGGGACGCCGCGAAGCACGGCGAGCACCGCCACGCCAGAATGCCCCTGCAGGCCGCGCCCCTGGGCAGGCCGCCCGGCGTGCCGGGGCGAAAGCCCCACTCGCCCGGAAAGCGCCACCAGTGGGGCGCCTCGCCCAACATGCCGCCCAACCTTGGCACGCCCTTCATCAACCCCGCCACCGGGAAGAAGCGCGTCCAGTGCAACGTCTGCCTCAAGACCTTCTGCGACAAGGGCGCCCTTAAGATCCACTTCAGCGCGGTTCACCTGCGGGAGATGCACCAGTGCACCGTCAAGGGGTGCAGCATGATGTTCAGCTCGCGGCGGTCGCGCAACCGGCACAGCGCGAACCCTAACCCGAAGCTGCATTCGCCGCACCTGCGGAGGAAGATCTCGCCGCACGATGGCCGCTCGTCGATGGCGCACGCGCTGGTGCTGCAGCCCCCGGTGGGACTTCCGGTCCCGGCCACGGGCCTGAATCCGCTGTCCTTCGGCTCGTTCCCCCTGCTCACGCCGCCGCCTGACCTTCGGTCGCCGGCCTCCCTCTGCGCCCTAGACTTTAAGCACCTCGACCTCTCCTCCCAGAACGCCACCCGGGCCTACGAGGAGGGCCTGCAGCAGCGGGGCCCGGGGGGCGCGTCCTCGGCCGCGAACTGCGCCTCCACCACCGCGAGCACCACCACCACGGCCGCGTCCGGCTCGACCTCCGCCAGGGGCGGGACCTCCCCGCTCGGGCCCTCGGTCGGCCACGACCCCGACGACGACGAGGACGACGACGAGGACGGCGGGATAGTGGTCGTCGCCGAGGATGAGGTCCTCCCGTCCGGGAGGCTGTCGCACCGCGAAGACGACGACCAGCCCGCGGACTTCAGTCTGGCCAAGAGGCCGAAGCTGTACCTGGGGGACGCCCCCGACGAGGACCTGGCCAGCATCGGCGACAGCAACGAGGACAACGACTCCGTCGGCGCGGTCGACCACCACGTGGCCTCGGTCCACCCCCACTCGATGCACTCGTCCCTCCACAGCCGCGGCGTTCGAAAGCGGAAGTCGCAGCACCCCACCAGGTGCACCGTGCCCGTCGAGGCGCACTCGTCGTCGACGGACGGCGACTCGTCGAACGACGCCGTCTTCCAGGACCAGCCGGAAGACATGTCGATGTCGAGGCTGGAGGCGGAGGACCGGAAGACCTCGTCGCCGGCCTCCGGCCACGCCGGGGCCGCGTTCAACGAAGAGTCCGGCTCCAGGTCGCCGGCCACGGCCACGGGGGCGACGACGGTGCCCGCCGCGGGGAGCCGCGAGGAGGACTTCGCCGAGGGTGGCCCCGAGGGGCGCGGAGGGGGACCCGCGAACGACGGCAACGACAGGCGCGACCCGGGCGAGATGCCCCAAATGGAGCCCAGGGACTTGAGCTCGCGAGCGAGGAGCGGCCGGTCCCCGAAGAGACAAACGACCCCGGAGCCGAGGGCTGCGACCTCCCCGGCGACGTCCCCCGAGGACGCGATCGCGAGCGGTGCCCCGTCGACCGGGAGCTCGTCCGAGAAGGGGGCCGGGGACGCGGAGGTTCCTCGGGAGGGGAAAGCCGAGGCCTCGGAGGCCTCGAACGATAAGACCAAGAGTCACTCGGCGCGCGACGAGGAGGAGGAGGACGAGGGGGACGACGAGGACGAGGCGATGGAGGAGGGCGAGGAGGTCGACGACGACGAGGAGACGGAGGATTCGCTTCGCAACCAAGAAGGTGAGCGCCCCGATGACCCCTCCCGTGCCCCGAGCTCCGCCGACAGCCGGATTAGCGAGGACCTCTCCCTCGACTCGTCAAATGCTTTGCGCCAACTAGAGTCCTTGTCGCAGGGTCGCATGCCGTTCGGAACGCGGGAGGCTTCGAGGTCTGGCCGCACCTCTATCAGCCCCAGCCTCATGATGGACACCACGGACAACTGCTCTCGTGGCTCTCGCTCATCCAGCGCCTCGCCCTCCACAGCGGCCATGGATACGGACAGTAGCCTGATCACCTACGCCCGGTACGAGAACGGCGTGGGCTTCGTCAGCACCCAGGAGGTGCCCCTGGACCGGGACAACCCCCGGCGGTGCACCGCCTGCGGCAAGGTCTTCCAGAACCACTTCGGCGTCAAGACCCACTACCAGAACGTCCACCTCAAGCTGATGCACCGCTGCAGCGTCGACGGTTGTAACGCGGCCTTCCCCTCGAAGAGGTCCCGGGACCGGCACTCGGCCAACCTCAACCTGCACCGCAAGCTCCTGTCGACCTCGTCCAGCCCGCCCCCCGCCGGCCACTCGGCCCCCGCGCCCCCCAGCCTCTCGCCGCATCTGGACGACGCGGTCGGGCCCCTGCTGCACAACGAGTTCCTGGCTAGGCTCTACGCCGACGCCGGCATCGGCGCCCTCGGCGCCTACCCTCTGGCCCCCTCCTTGCCCTCCGGGGTCGACCTGGCCGCCCGGATCCCCCCGCCGCACCCGCTCCTCTTGCCCCCTCACCTGGGCGCCACCTTCCCCGGCCTCTCCTCCTTCGCAAGCCACCTGGCGGGCCTCAACGGCTTCGCCCACCGCCACCTGGACCACCTCGGGCGCCTCAACAGGCTCTCCCAGGAGCAGGGCCCCCGGGGGTCCTCGGCCCCCGACTCACCACCCCTGCTGCCGCCCGTCTCCGCCGCCCCCGGTCTCGAGGACAGAAGCGACGAGGCCAGGTGCACCATCCCCGGCTGCGACAGGGTCTTTGGGTCGCGCGCCGTCAGGGACGCCCACACCCGCGACCCCCAGGCTCACCGCGACCTCGACGGCGCCTCCACCGGCAGCGGCTCGTGACCGCTCTACAACTTCCGACCCGTCTACCCGCGGCGCCAGCGTCGGGACGCGTGATGCCGAGGGCTCCTCCGGAGGTCTCGGTCGGCCCAGGGTCCCCGCCCTTGAACACCTAGGGGGACCGAGTCGTCCTGACGACCGCAGCGTGCAAGAACCGTGTGCAATACCAAATATAGAGTCGACCGTGACTCGCGAACTCAACGAAGCCGTCTCTCACGGGAGTATCCACGGCATCTCCTTGGAGCCGACCCCCCGGGGACCGTCTTCCGTCCTCTCCCCGTCTAATCTCGCAAGTGAGGAGGGAAGACCTTAGGCCGAGAAGGACGATGGGACGAGGCGGTCCGTCGAAGGAGCCTGTCCGTTTCGGCGATCCCGATGAAGGGGTCTCCGATAATCTTATCATTGTTGTGATAACGCACGTTAGTTAAACACGTCACTATTTAATCACTAACCCCCCCCCCATTTAGCGACTGTAAATATTACGAGTATATTCGATGTATCTCGCGTAACGATCGTTGACCACGAGGCGCGAGGCGCCCTGATCAAGAGGCAAACGTGTATCGGATATGTCTTTGCCCCCCGCGTCCTGGAGGCTGGGTCCCGGCGCAGGAGACCCCCGCGGAAGACGTCGAAGACCCGGATTCCCGGATTCGCTCCTAGACGACCTCCAGGACGCGCGACTCTCGGCGGGCGGGACCGACCAGTGAATCAAAGCGAACGGACCCCGGTCCGGAATCTCGGTAGATATTAACGAGAAGATAGATAGATTTTATTTATTGTTTCCTAGGACTCCTAACGATACGCTCTCGGTACCCGCGGCCAGTAGCGGGCACTGCCGCGGGGATCTTCCTCTAGGATTAATACGCGTCGCCCGGCGTCTGTGTGACGAGTGCCACGAGGGATCGGCGTCGAGGTCTCGGGTCGAGATAATTATTAAAAATTGTACATTCGAAAGGATTAGGATGCCAAAGCGCTGCCAGGAGGCGAGACTCGAGCGGAGGGCGTCGATTCGCGGTCTCCGCAAAGGTTTCGACCTCGTCCTTGCATATCCGGAAACGCGTCGTTAGGGTCTCTCACCCAGGAAATCGATCTCTCGAGGGGGGGCAACTTGGCTCTCGCTCTCTCAAGCTTGGTACCTCGTCGCCGACGGGCGCCGCGACGCCGATCCCTCGCCGACGCAATCATCAGTGTAAATACGTCGGTTAATTTTCATATCGAGTCCGATCCGGCCGCGTAAGGATCGCGATCGGCCCCGACAAGAGTCGGTCGCGCGACTTTTCTACGTGTCTTTAGTTTCTCCTAGGCTGCGCGAAACACACAAAAGTCCCTCCACCCACCCGCGCGGAGGTTCCGCCGCGGAAGGCGACCCACTACGGCGCACCTCCCCGGCCGCGCAACCCCTCCGACCCGCGGGGCCCGAGGTGCACTCTGCAATTGTAATTATGTATAAATCGAACGCTATGATGTATATTATAGATCAATTATAAAGAACACTCATCACAATTACAAGAATAAATATGTAAAATTAATGTCTCATCAGCCGTGGATTCGTGAATACCTCCCTGGACACCCGGTCGATGTCTCGATAGTTCCATAAGGACAATCTCCTGGTGAGAAGCACATGAATGGCCCCCGGCTTCTGGTCCAGATAAGACTCGGTTATCACCAGCACCTAAAACCTAGCGGACCTCCCTCGCTCGAGGCAATCGGGTAAGGTAAGGCAACGTCGGGAAGGACTCCTGCCTCCTGGTCCAGGACCTCCGGGTCCAGATGAAGCTCGGTTCTCGCGTAAAACCTAGGTAACCTTCCTCGCCAGCAGTAATAAGGTAAAGTAAGGGAAATTGATAAAGGACCCCTGCGAGAAAAAATCTGGAGGACTCCTAGCTCTTGGTCTAGGACCTCCGCGTCCAGGTGAGGTGTGGTTATATCACCTGCGCCGAAAACCTAGCGGACCCTCCTCGCCGGAGGCAATCAGTGGACGTCCCAGGGACCGGGTACGGATTCGAGGAAGAGGTCGCAAGGTGCAGGCGGCGCATCTACCCGGGGAATCTGTCTGGCTCAAAAAGCGGGCCCGAAAAAAGGCGAGCGGAAGACGCAACGAGAAGAGAAAGAGAGAGAGAGAGAGAGAGAGAGAGAGAGAGAGGAAGAGAGATATCGGTGCCCCGCCTATGGCCGACCCAGATCGGCCTCTCGGGGGAGAAGGCGAGACCCTTCCGAAATAAGAAATACCCGGTGATTTATCAGTGATCTCTCGAAGGGGGTCGGGATCACGCCCACCGCTCGTACGAGGGGGGCCCGGGGTCGCTAAATCGTTACTAAATTGTTCGGCAAACAAACGAAAAGGGCGCACTGACATCGGGCTCGGTAATTAGGACCGGCCGGGGACCGCGAGGTGGACGTCCGCGTAATTTGTAAGGGATAATTACACGTAAAGCCGGGGCCCGGCCGATACCGGGCCTTTAATCGACCCGGCAGATTAGATTAGCACCTTCGATCCCGCGAGCTGACGAACGATCCTGACGAGGTGCCCGCGCCGAGACCGGCACCGGCTAATGGCGCTACTCCGACTCCTCGTCGGGGCCCTCCGAGGATCGAGCGACTCCTGGCCCGAGCGGAGCCGAGCGGGGCCGAGCGCGGCCGAGCGGCAGTGCGGAGCGCGGATTCGCGCCGGTCGTGCACACGACAGGTGTAGCGTGGGAGAACGAGGGGGAGCGGAGCGGGAGAGAGACGGAGGCCCGGGAAAAATGCGCCGGAGGGACGGAGAGCGCGAGAAGGCGGTCTTCGACTAACGTTGGACGCCCCTCGCGGCCCCCCCTAGCCACTTGTATATACCCCACCAAGTCGGAGGCGCGGTCACCGCGCCGCGCGACGCGGCGGCGACGCGTCCCCGACGCGTCCCCGACGCCTCCAGATTTCGGAACCACCGATGGAGATCGCCGCCCGGCGAATGCGGAGCGGAAGAAAGAGCGGCCCGCGAGCTTGGTTTCCGGGCCGAGACGTGTCTGCCGACCGAAAATTACGAGGCTCGCCTCCTAATGAGGGGTTCCGGCGTGTCGAAACTACTAGAGGACTAGACGGGTCGGCCCGTAATGGTGGAGTCGCGCGCCAAGTGCGTATCCAACTACCGAAGGAGTCCTTGACCCGCGCCGACTCGGCCGCGTCCACCGCGGGGCCGGTAATTACAAGTACAAATCGGTGCGCCGTGCGATCCATACGTTATTTACAAGTCGCGCCCGCGAATCGAAGGCCCCCGTCGCGAGGCATTACCTTACGTAAGTTACCTGTCGGGCGAACCACCGGCCGCGGTCCAGGTGCGCCGGCCGAGATCGGCGTCGGGGTGATTCGGGGTCGGACGAGAGATGGACGTCGAATTAATTATCGGGAATCTCGCGATACGTCGCCGCGCAAAGTAGGTTCTCTAGGGGTGGGCGGGATAAAAGCGTGTCGGAGGTCGGCCGAATTAGGACGCGGACGACTTAAAGACCGGGCCGAGGCGCACATGGCTAATCTTGGCCGCACGTCGAACCGTGAATATCGGTTTCTGGTATCTGGACGGAGATAAAATCTATCCGCACCGGCAATTTCGGCATCGCGCACATGTCGCGGCCGTTCCGTGCCGGATGCACCCCGCCGAATCCGGCCACGAATTGCCCGGGACGGTCTAGGAGGCCCGCCGGCCTATCTGCCGCGCTCGATCTCGAGACCCAGGAATTACGTCGGCAGCCGTTCGATTCCTGGTCCCGTCCGGAGTCAGAGACCCTATTCTTGAGGTCCTAGGAGCCCGGTATATCGGGTCCCTTAAGTCGCTCCTCCACCTCGGAGGAATGGAAACCCCCTCGTCGTCGAGTACCCTCTCTCGCGGTATTCCCGACTCCCCTCGTTCGATCTCCGGAAACGGAGCCGCGAGGGTCCTCCACCTTCGGATAGGAAGAATCGAAGGACGACCTCTCGCCTCTCGATTCCGCGCCCGCGTGGTCGAGGCCTAATGAAATCCCCAGGGATCGATCCGGCCCCGCGGGACGACCGCAGGTTTTCCGGCGGACCTCGCCGTCAGGTGGAGTGACAGATCACGCGATGGCACGGCCACCTGGCGCCGCTGATTGTCCGTCACGGGCCGTGACAAGTTCTCTGCTTGACCATCGATCGCCGCCCAATTTTCGGCTCTGCCCCGAAACCTGTCACGCGATGTCCGCGGATCCCGCTTCCCGGGACGAGGACTTCCTCCGAGGATTCGGCGATCGAGAATATCCGGCCCGGGGATCGATCCGCATCCGCCCTTCGAGAGGAGGCGCCGAGACTCGCTGACAGCGGCGCACAAGGGGGTACCGGCCGTGCAGGGTTTCGTGCGAGCGCAAAATCCCCCGATTGCCCCGGCGATAAGTCGTCCGGTAACCGTGGCGGCAACAAATTGGGCTCCTCTAATCGCGCTAATACATCAACGCGGGAGTTTGACGCGAAAATTGCATCGTGTCCCTCGGCCGATCGGATCTCCCCGACGAGATTTCGGAGTCACGCGCGAGCCGCGACCCTTCTACGACGTGGACGCGTTCCTGGGGCTCGATCCTCGATCTTTTACCGATTTCTTTCGCATATTAATCTATTCCCACGAAAAATCCATCCTTACGTATTCGAGTCATCGTATAATATTTCTACGTATAATATTTCTACGTCTAATATTTCTACGTCTAATATTTCTACGTCTAATATTTCTACGTCCAATATTTCTACGTCTAATATTTCTACGTCCAATATTTCTACGTCTAATATTTCTATGTCCAATATTTCTACGTCTAATATTTCTACGTCTAATATTTCACGAATCAATTCGCACGAAAAATCCATCCTTACGTCATCGATTAACATTTCTACCGATTTTGCATCGCATACGATCAATTGAATTCGATCCGTCTTTTCGCGGCAACCTCGATGCGATAACGCACCGTGGGAGAGCGCCTATCGGGAGCTCGGCGGCGATATCGGGGCTCTTCCCGTTTGGCAGTAAAGCGGTGCCGCGCGATGCCGCGAGGAGCGGCTGAAATTAGAAAAGTGCCGGTATAATAAAAGCGGAGGGTACGGGGCCCGACAGCTGCCGGCTCGGTCGCGGATCCCGCCGGCTTGCCGGTGTATTACGCGAAGATATGGTTCGAAGACAACGACCGCCACTCAGGGGGCCGTAAAAAGGACGGGAATGTCACTGAATGACGGACCACGGGACTGGCTCGGTAAGTAATTCTTCGGCAATTACATAATTACTCGTGGTTAGGCCCTTTACTCCTCGGCCGGAGAGGAGTCGTTACGATATTTACTACTATATAATGGCTGGCCCTGCCAACGAAGAAACGAACGCACCGGGGTAACGGACGGACGCGCCGAGTTTAAACCCGAGGCGACCGGGCCCTCGGGAAGGACGCGTCGGGACGGGGCCCGACGCGGACCGAGGGGACGACGCCGCGGCGAGTCGGGGACCGACGCCGGGCGTCACGCGACGGCGACGCGGGGCGGATTTGCATGGTTCCCACAGGGCATCGGGTCCGTCCCCGGTCCCCGGCTCGGTCCAAGATGGCGTGTCGGGCCCAAAGAGAGAGAGAGGGTCGGGA